CATCTAAAACATCTAAATTGCATCTAGCAATTACTAAAATATAAAACAAAAATTAATTTTTAAATAAAAATTAATTTTTTTCATTAAAATTTGTCACATATTATTCAACAAAAAAATGTGATAAACAGATAACAAGTACAATTACAGATATCTTAAATTCCGTAGAAAGTTTTCGAGATTAAACAAATAAATATTCGTGTCAATCCAAATATTATTTGTAATGCTTCTGTAATGTATTCTTTTTTTAAGCAATTTAATTTACAATTATACAGAACACATGTTCTTTTTTATCTCTCGACCGCTTCGATTTAATTTGACGCGACCTCATCCAAAGTGTGCGATCGCGGTTGATCATGGCAGCGGCACCTGCTTAAGCCGTTTTCGCACCACCCGCGGCAAAAAGTCTCATATGCTCGACCGAGTGGTGATTACGAATGCGATTCGCGTGCAGCGTTGCTTGGCGATACGCGCGTCCAACGTTTCATTGAAATCCTCGAGCCGCCGAAAAGACGTGCTAATGAGCAAGATGCATGGCTGATTACAGAGCGGCGCGAGAAAACGAGCGTTTCAAAGGAAGATGTGCCGTAAAGCGCGTTAAGTGGTAAAAGAGTGGCCACCTAGCGAGTCGGCAAGCGGGCAAATCCTTTCCTTTAGAAGGTGAAAACCGAGAGGAGGTCGCCAGATGTTCCGTGACGACGTCGTCGATACATGAAAACCGCCAGGAAAGTGTCATAATCTCGAGCTTTACTTGTGCCAGCTGGCTAATTTCCTACACTGCCGAAAGGACGACGCAAATGACGCTCGGCGGAACGTGTAATGCCGGCAACGATGAAGGCGAGAAGAGGCTCGTACAAGGCCGCTTTAAAGTCTTTATAGGCCCGACATTTCAATAGTATACATTTTTGCATCGGCAGTTATAATGTGATTCGCGTTGCGCTGGCGAGGCCAGGTGGAAAATTCCTGAAAGAGCGCGAGATGCTTTGTCATAAAATTGGTGGACATTTTTACATAAGCTACTTATGTCACGAAAAATTTCTGTGACAAATGATTGCGAAATGTGAGAAACGGTATACTGGCAACGCTAGAAAATGTATTCAAACGCGTTGAGAAATCAGTGAAGAAGTTACGTGAAGAAATTTAAATGTTGATTTGCACCATTAATCTAAACGCTCATGGAATGCATTATTAGCTGTACGGAGTGTGAAATGGCAACGCCACTTATCAACGTACATCAGAACAGGAAGCCTCTACGGCCATGTACTAATCGTTTATGTACAATATATGAGCTACTTGACAGCTCTATTAGCATGATTATTCTTCGCTACTACGTTACCTCACGTTGCACGTTGTCTAACATCCGTGTATGCGTATCGATTTTCACCGTGAATATATGCGATCAATAAAATTTGTTGAGATAACCGATCACGGCAAAGTGATTTCTGTAGAATTTCTAGGCTACGAAATTCATTTGCAGGTATATCGTGGATGTTATTTGTTTTCCTTTCAGAGGTTGAATGTTAAAATTAGTTTCGAAGTTATTCACGTTATATAACACGCGCTTTGCAACTTCAGCCGAACCGTCGTTTGTTCATGGTAACAAATAATTTGAAACATACATCGAATAGTTTCATATTCCCCGCCGAAGTTGGGACGCACGTAGGAGAAACTTTCACGAGGTAACGGCTTACAGAAAGTTTCCGGAATGCTGGAACTGGGTATTACTTCCGAAAAGCCTTGACAACTGACCTATTCAGTCAATTGTCCATCCAGTGTACAATTGAAAGGCGCGGCAAACCCTTTTCCCCAAGTTTCTCTAATCTATTCGAGCGGCGTGGTCAGGCACGGGCTAGTTCCATTCATAAGCTCATAGCGATCACAATGGCGTGCCTGCTACGTCTATCCGAGCGCGGTTATCTAGGCAAATCCTCAAGTGAAATACCGGTAGGTTTCATTGAGCCTTAGCCAGCGAGCAATTTCGCAGCGGCATTGACTGCGATCTAAGGCGACACTTGGCAAGTTGAATTGGCAGGAAGCCCGACGCCGCTTAACTCTTCTTTCAATGAGATTATCGCCGGTTACTCGGGCCTCTCGCCACCGAGACCGACTTCATTCGCATTGTCGCGGGATACCGGCGACGACTACGACACAACGATCCATGAACTGGCGATGGCGAAATGCGAGACTACCTGAAAACCTATTCCGAGAAGAGCTTCTAAGTGTCTAAAGTGGGTGATCGATAGCAACACCGGAACCGTTGGAAACGGCTCGAGGATCTCATTCTTCTCCGACCGCAATGACAATATCACTTTGCTTCGTCGTGAATTATTGTCGATCGCAATTATTGTCGATCGCAATTTGCATTTCTCCCCCGTCGAAGGAGCCAATTAGCGAATATCGCGGAATAATCGAATAATGCACTCCGTAACTTTAACATTAAATCTCTCCGGGTTTTCGAAGCGATCCTATTACAACGTAGCGGTTTTCGCGATTCTCCGCCACGCACGTGCTTTCCATTGTTTGTCGTTAACACAGTTTTAAGAGTTTTAATGATGAGCCGTCTGTGTATGCCAAAGGTTGCATGTGAGAGAGTTCTAATGGATATCGAGTCGAACCAGCCGGCGAACCACTTACCACGAGCTCCCTCGCGTTTAGCATGTTTAGCACCGGTCAACTGACCGCGTAATCATCGCCGTATGAGCTGAAGAATAACGCCAGCAGGAACGCGCCAGTCTAAGTGAATTAGTGGTGCGTGCCTGGCACTTTTATTTTTCTCTCGCTTAGCTTTTCGTTAAGCGCAGGCGCTCTAATCGTTCGCCATTTACGGACGCAAGAGAACAATGCCCCCGATGTATCGATTTTCGTCGGTTCCGACCGTCTCAGGCCGTATCTTCTCGACGAATCAACGTGGTTCAATATTTAAAATTCAAATGTATACTGTTCAGCGAGTTTTCACTTACAGAATTTATTACGCGTAGAAATTCGCCGTTAACGCCTTAGAATTGCCTCTCCTCGAGATGATTTGTGCACTGCGAACTGGAGTGGAAGAGCGTCGCAGCGATATTCCAAGATGTATCATTAGTCAGCCACCGATAACACGGTGAAGAAAGAGACCCATTGCGACGCGCACTATCGCTTCAAATCGCGCGAGCGAGTCGAATTTGAATATAATCTCTTTCGCTTTGACAGCCGCGCCATATTTCTAACAACGTATTATCACAACGGTATCGCCCGACGCGCGATTTCGCTATCATGACGAATGCGCTGGGCTGTCGCGATTAATCGATTTAACGCAATTTCCGAGTAGCAGCGTGGTCACGGTGGATGTGTTAACGAGCGACGCGTCGTCCGATAGCATCGAACACGGTTCCGCGAGCGTTCACGAATTATAATTGGCCCGTAATTAATGACACCGACGTTATTGACAGGTGAGAGAACCGACGTATGCGCGTCGCCGCGTGCTACGCGAGTTATTCGCCTCGACCGCGCCCCTTGATCTCGTTTCGGGCTACACTTATTTTAGGCTTAATTGCACAAACGGCAATGACGGTGTTACGGCATAATCACCATCACGGTGCCGATCGGGCGAGATATATCGCGCCAGCAATTGCGAATGTTTACGATCATGCTCGCGCGCCTTCGAGATCGAATCACTTTTGCGGCGAGTAATTTTGCGAGACACCGGTGCGCGCAAATAATTTGGAAAGAATTTTATGATATCGCCTGTGGCGCAATGTCTCATTATATCGAGATGCTGCGAGGATTGAAATTGGCTTAAAGCTTGCGTAATGCGGGACGTGCTCGATTTGATTTTTATTAATTTTATCCTCTCGTCAAATAATTGTATACGTATGGCTACTCTCTATGTATATAATTATACAATAAGTAGAATGAAAAATTTAATCTGATTTTTTTACTGCGTATCGACGATTGACTTGAGCGTTTCTAGACGGGTCAAATGTGAATATAGTATATGTGAACATTTGCATGGAAAAGATTTATTTTTACAAAAAAGCGCGATACACGTTACAGTGCGTATCGACGAGGGACAACGATTATAACTATTGCATATATATATATATATATATACACACACACACATATACAACACACACACACATATATATATATATATATATATATATATATATATATATATTGTTGTGTGTGTGTGTGTGTGTGTGTATGTGTGTATATATATATATATATATATATAGTGTATACTTCACCTAAAATCGATTGATATCGGTAAATAACTTAGTAAATTCCGTTAATATCACAACACATTTCCTCAGTTGATCTCGTATGCGTCGAGGTTCCCCTTGCGCCTTCTCGAAGAGAACCACCCAGTTGTGCGATTTATCTGGTCAACGGATCGCTTTACGTTCGCTCGATACTCGTCTTCGTAAGCATTGAGATACAAGTTCTTGAGGAATATTTGATTATCCAGCTCAGAAGGCGGCAGAAACCGTTTTGAACGGCTCTGCTGTTGCGCCTGCAGCTCGTCGAAAGTGAACTGTTTTGATTTGGCATCGACGACGGGCTGTGACTTCTTTGAATTCTTTTGATCGTCCGCGTTGGTCGGCTTCACGGACAGAAGCTTCCTCTTCTGACGCGAAGCGCCCGCTTCCTCCGAGGCGTTTCGTATCCGCTTGCTGCGATGCTTGGGCGCTCCGTCTTTCGCTGGAATCTCGTTGTCCAGCACGGCGACGTCGTTACTCGGGATTGTCGATGATTGATGTGACGCAGCCTCCTTCGGCGCCGGTGTCGTGCTGGATTCTACAATCACGCTCTCCTCCGTCGAGTTCAATCTATCCTGTATGATATGTTTGAAAAATGCGTACTTCTCGCCAACCGTGAAAGTCGTGCCGTTCCTGACGGTAAACTTGTCAATGTTCATCTTCTTGATTAATTCCTCGGTCGCGTTGCGCGCCTCCAGCATCGACAGTTTCTCGGTTACGTAACTGTTGACGAACTCGTAGAAGCCCTTGTAATAATTCTTCCTGTGCTTCTTCTTATCCTTACGCTTCTCGGCATGCAACAGACCCTTTTTCTTCGCGTCCTTTCGATTCTGCTTCTCATTCCAGCGTATGGATTTGTTGTAGAATCTCATAATTCGCTCGAATTCCCTCTTTAATTTAATGAACTCCCTTTGATTGCGTATCTCAAAGTCCGAGCGGGCTCTGCTGCCATTCCGTCGCTGCGATTCCGCGAGATCCACATGAAAGAAATTCTTGCTCATTGCATTCAGTAGATCGTGCATGGTATTGTTACTGGAGTTATTTGGTTGCCTGGCATCCATGCGCTGTAATTTTCTGTACACCATCTTGAGAAAATCAATCATTCTCTCTTCTCGCAAACGGGATTTATTGCCATGGTTTGCATGTACCTTCCAAGCTGATAGATCGGATGCATTGGTGTTGTTTTGGTGACTAATAATGGATACTAATTTTGATTCTGTTTTATGTTTGGCATGTTCACGATTTCTATTTATCTCCATATGCAAAAGTTTCTTGCCCACTTTGCGGAAGAAGTCAATGAATTTTCTGAAACATTAATCAAATCATTATTTTTAATAATATTTTTATATTTTTCTATTAAATATTTTTTCACTTTTTTATGAAATATAACAAGAATCATATTTGTAAAAAAATTCATAAATATAAATTAATGTTTATATTATTTCTATTTTCATATTTTATAAAATAGAAATAAAAATTATATTATTATTAATTAATAATATAGTTTTTATAGCAACAATACCAATATGAAAAATTATATTTGTATAATTTTTATGTATAAAATGAACTTATTCTAACTAATTATTGAATTTAAGCACTGACATTTTATTAATTCGCAAGTTCTTACTTGTAATTTAGAGTAACATTGTCGTCTACTGATCTACGTCGTCTGCTCCATCTAAGTCGAGGATGTTGTCCCAAAATACACTTGGGTAACTCTCTAGGACTCCATGCACCGCTTATGCAAGTCGCACCGGTTGGTCCGTCATCGAGAACGTAACCCTTATCGCAATCGTACATAATCTGCTTGTTGTTGACAATCTTTCTGACGTACGGTCTGTAATCGTAAACTCCCATATTGCCCACCAAAAAGACTTTGCCGTGCTCGATAAAGCCGGGAAATGGGCAGAAGACCTGATTGCAGTACGGTATGTCGCCGATCCACTTGCCATAACGACATTCCACAGATTTGGAAAGATTCAAGGGACCTCCGCCAATCAACTCGAAACCGTCCTTACACTTAAAGATTGCTTTCATACCGTGATCCGTCTTTGGCGCTATCACCATTCCGTTTTTCGGAGGCTTCGGCATGTGCTTGCATCGAGCCGGCGAGCAACTCGGCACTATTGACCAAGTACCGTTATTGCATAATACTGGCGTACTATTAGCGGCAAACTCGTAATTCTGAATGCAGGAAACTAGGAGCTTCTCGCCGTGCTCCACCACCGTTACATTGTTAATGTGATCTCTATCATGGCTGGCTACGACAACGTGACCGTTTTCGATCTGCGGGACGACGCACGGTGCCAAACACTGCGGTAGAGGATAACGCCATTTGCCGTCTTTCTGGCAGACAGAGGAAGTATTGCCCTCCAGCTTCATGTGATCTTTACAGCGGAAAATTATGCTGGCGCCCATACCTGTGCCTGTGATCGCGACAATTCCACAAAAAACAATTATAATATATTTTGTCGACTTATATTACATTATTTGATTAATCTTAAATAACAGACCGGCCTCTATGTTCTCGATCCAGCCGTTATACAATACGCCAGGTAAACCGCAATTAATTTCCTGGCAGGTAGGCGTCTTTCCAGTCCACTTTCTGTCCGCACCGCAACGTCTAGTTGCTGCGCCTACTACAGTATACCCGTACTTGCATTCGTACGATACAATGGAATTATACGCGTAGGAGGTGTAGACAGCCTTGCCGTTGACTGGATTTTCCGGTTTCGGACACTGCACGGATGTGACCTGCACGAAATATTAAATATCTAAGCGCGAGTTTCCGAGAAATAATTCGATATTCTATTTTTTATTTCCTTACTTGAACGCATTGTGGTAATTCCTTCGGAATCCAAGTGCCATCCGCCAAACACAATTTTTCTATTTTACCAACTAATTCGTAACCTTCCATGCAATGATACGATACGCGACAATCATATGTGTAACACTCCCCTTAAAAACATAATCGTTAATTGAAATCTCTTCCGTGACAGAACGTTAGAAATACGGGTCGATCATAGTTGTGTAAACTTACCAGAGTGCCATCCATTGAGAATATCCGGAGGTGAATCGCAATTTTGAGGCTTACAAGTGATATCTGGCCCGTACCATCTAGCAACCCCTTCCATCAACAGACATTTCGCCTTCTTCACTCCGGTTGCTACGTATCCATGATTACAGAAATATTGCACGCTGTTGTCGAGATCGAAGGTCGTCTGCTCCAACGGGGCGTTGTGGCGCGCGTTTTGGATCTTCGGCGGTTGGGAGCAAAAGGAGCTGGAATCTTTCTTGCAGGACGGAGTGGTCCCAGTCCATTGACCATCGGCACGACACGTTCTCTCGGACAGACCGACCATAAAGTAATCAGTATCGCAGGCGTAGTGAGCTCTATCCCCGAAAAATTTTCCGGAAACCGTCATCACGCCGTGATCAATCTCGGTTAACGGCGGGCATTCGCGTTCAGGCTTGATGCACGACATTCCGCAAGCTCCGTCGCATCTACATTTCTTTTTCTTACTCTTGCAATCTTCATCAGTAGAACACTTTCGCAAACACTTTTGACCCATCAGTTCCGCCTGCTCTTCATCTCTCGGGCACATAGCGGAGGGTGAGTTTCGCGGATTCTTGTAAATTCGGCCGTCATCGTCGACCTCGGGTTTTGTATGATAGCTCCCGTCGTCGTCGTCATCCTCATCATCGTCATCCCATTCATCGTCGTCGTCGTCGTCGTCGTCAACAGCCGCTTGCTGCCGAAGCTTTGATTCCGACGTGAGAAATTGAGCGCATAACAGAAGCAACAAAACAATCGCGCTTGGTCTCATCCTTGCCTGGAGAAAAGATTTCGAGATCCCGCGAAGATTCACTGGAGGTGTGCTGGCGATTGGATCATACGACGACACCAGGACACGACAGAACGTTTACATGACCGCCTGACTGACCGAACTGACCATCTCACTCGGAGACCTGCGGAGAGCCAATGCCGTGGAATTCAGGTGCGCACGATCGTCCATCGAAGAGCACCGTTTCAGGAGTCCCGCTCAGAGCACCGCAGAAGTCATCCCGAGCTGCAGCCGAGGACGACGTTGTTTCTCTCGCGAGCGCGACTATTAATCGAGTCCGCCTCTTCGGCGTCCGGGAGGATTAGGGACCCTCTCCGTCGGTCTCTCTCGCCGGAATGCTCTTTCGCTCCTACTGGCTGCACCTCGCTTCCTCTCGTTCTATCCTAGATGCTTTTTTCTTTATTGTACGAACTGCGGTCCCCCGCTGACGGGAATTCGCGGATATTCGCGCATCTCGCCGCGCGCATCCAGCCTGTGTTCAATACATCTCCTGATTTCCCCAGCTTCCAGCAGATGGCGAGGAAACATGCTGATAAAGGGAGGCTGCGCAGCTACCCCGGGATCACGGCTCGTCGTGGTGATTCTTGGAGACTCAAAGATAGATATACAAGCGAACCTCTGCATTATCTTAAAAAGAAATTTTTTAAATCCTGGTTATTAACTGTGATTTGACTCTAATTCATGGAAGAATAAATAAAGATAGATTTAGGATACTATGTATCACTGCTTATTGAAATGTAAATGTACTACCGCTATACGATATGTGTTTGTTTTTATAAATCTTCTTTCCATTGCCGATCATTAAAGTTATAGCCACAGAAATCGCGAATTATCCCTAAAGCGGGAAGCTTCTACCATACTATATAATCAGCGGCTACTAAATTTTTACCATCGCGCGTTAATCGTAGCTTCGGCACAGTTTGCTGAAAAAAAATTCGAAGCATACACTCGAACGGTCTGAAATTATTATTCACACAAGAGGCGACATTCGGGAGAGGAGCTGAAATGAGCAAAAACGCAACGCGAGAATGCCTCGGCGTCGTAAAAATTACACCGGGCAAAGGTGTTAAAACGAGCCGTGACGCTTCAAGGCAGAGAACTATACATGCAAGCATATCTGCCTATAAATCCGTTCTAAGCTCTCCAATGAAAAAACACTTGCGGTAGACATGAATTATCTAAAAACATGCGTTTCAACTTTCTTTTTTACGTGACATACAACACTTTCTTAAATAATACCTAAAAAATCATTTATCTCCGATTTCTCCTGATCTCTCACGAAATTACAAGGATGATAATATATTATAAACATTTTTTTTCAATTTACGTTCAGCGTTTCGATGATTTGCATGACAAAGTAACAATTTGCCTATCTCGGCGTCGAATAGCGAACGAGAAGTACGCGCGCCTTGTACGAGCGTGGGTAGCAGTTGGAGGATCGGTTTTCATCGGACAAAGTCGAGCCTATGCTTGTTAGTCGTCACGCTACCAAGATAATCCTGAATCTCTAAGTCAAGCGTCATCGTTAGAGTAAGCCTATGTCGGCCATTGTCTTCGTAACGATAGCGATCACTCGGTTCGAAGTCCCAGCCACGCCATAGGTGATCCTCGCTCCAATCTCGAGTATCAGCTTCATCGTTCTTGCACTGTGTCCCCGGGATGTCTTCATTTGTCTTATTCAAATGAGGGATTTTCAGATAACTTTTATTTGAATAAAGAAAACGATCCTGTTAAGAGATTCGGCAATTAAGACCTGCAGGGTATAAATTTATTATATAAAGAAAACACATCTCTGTTTTCTTAAAAGTACTTAATTTATAAAAAGTTTAATTCTACACAAAATATATGAAATACAAAAGTTATTACACGACACTTTTGTTAAGTGAATATAATTTTTGTACAATTATATTATACTAATATAAAATATTATCCCCCTTTTTTAACAAGACTGGTTCTGGAGTTATTCAATATCACAACTGTTTCCGTGTCTGGATGCGGGCATCAGATCGGATTGACGGAGTGGCAGTAACTCGGTAGCTGAAAATGGGAGTGGCTGGAAGACAAGAGGACAGCTCGTTCAAAGACATCCTCGTGGCGCCTCTACGCGACGCAGAAAACCAGTGGGTCTCATCATATAAATTATTATAAATAATATTACTATTCTTTACTTTCTATCACAATACAGTACCTCATTGCATTCATTGTTTCTTTCATTTAAAAAATTTAATCAGAGACACAAATCAAAGCAACATTAAAATTTTTTTTTTAGAAACAACGTGTATATATATATATATATATATATATATATACCGCATGTGAGAAACTCTGCTTACAAGTCTCTCCGAAGGATGCCCTTTTCGTCCTCGGTGGGCGGCACACGCCTCGCCAGCTTTAGAAACGAGAACCGACTATCAAAGTGTCGGTTTACAGTTGCGCGCCTACCTTATATGACGTTGCCCCTTTTCTTCGTTCGCCTTCTCCTCGAAAAACTCGAACACATTTTTAAGAAGATCGCTTTTGACGTTACGCAATTTTTCATTCTATGAAACCTGTTTAGTCGAAAAAGTCGGGAATATGAGAAAAGGCAATTGGAGAAGTTTCTCGTTACGCACTCCGAAAAGCTTGAAAAGGTCTAAGAAGCACCGCCATAAATTTGCGGAGTTTCACTTTTTTTCAATTAACTTCATCTCGTCGGATGTGGAAAAGTACGAAGAGAAAAAAAAACGAGGCTCACGGCAAAAGCTACGCGTTTCTGCTCATTCTGCAGCTCGTTACGCGACCATTATCTCCAGTCTCGCGAATCCATTATTCTCTCTTCAGCCTCTCGAAGGTTCTTTTGCGATTCGCACACCGTCCACATGACGCTGCGGAATAATGGTTTACGGTCATTCCCCGACCGACGAGAACCTCCGGACTCTGATCGCGCGCATGCATACTCGTCGGCTCACGCATAATCCGGTTGCAATCTTTCGCACTCAATCACGAAGCAAATGACGCCAGTTGGCGTTGGTCTAGAAGAGGCGAAATTACCGGAATGAAATTGATTTAAGCAGACGCCTGCGGGAGTACACAGAGTTTTGCAACCGGACGTTTCGGCTTATGGCCGATGATTGCTCGTACGACTGAGTTTCTACATTTATCACGCAACGAAATAAAAATTTCAAACGAACAGCAGCTATCTAAATAGTCAGTTACTCCATTAATTTTATATCTTTCTTTCGCATTTAATGTTATTATTAGGTGCCGAGATTATTTCGATATAAAAATTGAATCTTCGGTTACATTACTATCACCTTACAGTTCTACTACCGATTACATTATGCCTAATATATCTTAAATTATTCCATCAGAATGCCAGAATACATTACTGGCCGAGGAGAGTTTTACGTTTTTATCTCAACGAGATCGTTTCTTATCGTCCGATAAACGTCCCGGTGCAATTTCCCGTCGCCGATTGGCACTTAAACTTTCTTTAACTGCCAGCATCCACTTCGGTGAACGATCTCGAGCACTCTCGAGCATCGCCGAGGCATCCACGTCGTCACTTACTCATTGGATCTTTATGTGCCGCTGCGCAGCGTCCGCCGCGTCTGACGCTCTTTGTGCGCGACGCGCTGGCTACCGAGCGCGTTCATTTGACGGATGCACCTACGCTACGCGGAGCTCCCTTTCACGGCTTGGTACGTGCCTTAAGCCGCATTCGTCGGACCGGCTCTTACGAGGCGCACCGACTGCGTCCAATTCAGAAGCAATTGAATTCACAATTCCGGCCATTACGAGTGTCGGGAAAAGATTACGGACGGCGCTGCCGGGCTGTGCGTGCCGCATCTGCATCCATGCGTAGAACGGACCGCGGTCGTATATGCATAAATGCATATATGCGTTACCTCCGTGCGTTGCATCGCACACGTACGTACGCGACGTGGCCTGTCCGCAGCGAGTTACGGGATGGCTCCTGGGATTAAAGCTCCGGCTAGAGAAGTAAAGGCATTAGCGCGCCGCACGCGGGAACCGCCAACTTGATGAGAACGAGTCGACGGTTCGTAACAGGCTTATGAATAGATATTCGCAGCATCTTTAATGATTCATTATTAAGCGACAGTGAAAACGAAACGTAACACTGCACCGGGGAATGTGGCTTTAAGTAGATTTGCACGTGCCGCTGAAAATGTGCGTCTTTATCGAAATCACATTTTTATCGAAACCTCGCAACGCCGAAGCAAAATACATCTCGATTAAAATGAGCAAATCTTTGTACATAATTATTTCTGTTTTATTCTATGTTTCGTCAACTTGCGAATTGTAAATTCCATTAATGTATGCAAGGAACAATGCATCTCCGATCGATTTCGCTTCGCGTAATAATTCTCTCATTAGGAATTCAATAATGCTTTCCGGACGAGAATCGATATTTCTCCTCGTGCTCCAAATTTCTGATGCCGAAGCACCAGCGTGCTTGGAACGAGACGCGCAACGAGACCGTTGTGAGCGGTAACAACACGTACGAATAATATACGCGGCGGGAGAAAGTTTTGCCTTTTGACGCGCTGATTGCAGGTTTCCTTTCGCGTCTCGGCGATTTTTGACGTTCTCAGCCGGGGTCGCGGGAATCAGGGCTGCCCGTCGGTCTCCCACCCTCGCCGTCTGAAGAACTGGAGCACCGTGAAGCGCACGATGATAGTAATTATGCACCGCCATGTAAAACATGGATTTGCACAGAGCCACCTGAAACCTGCTCGTGTGCCGTACGTACGATTATTAAGCCGTCACAACGCGGGAGGATGGCACTTATCATCTTGGGCTTTCGCTGCTACTTTTTCTTGCCATTTCCTTTGAGGCAACTCCCCCCTGGGAATTGCAGGGAGGTAACGGCGCGCTCTCAAATCGTAAGTTGTAATCCTCCCCGTTTTGCCCTGCATGCCGATAACCCGCCAGCTACAGCTTGCTTCTTCTCCGCGAACTGAAGAAGCAAAAATTCACGTACTAAGAGATCACGATTAATCAAACAGTTAACGAAAAACGTAAGTAATTTCTCCTAAGCTATCGTCAAGAAAAGAAGACTAATTGAACGAGTAGATTCTCATTTATTATTATTATGCACAGCAACCGGTCGTCCGGTTGCGAAAGATCCGCTCATCGTAATTGCGATGCGGAAGAGAGTCACGCGCGCGCGTGTCGTCAAAAAGTTTCCGTCTCCTTCCGGTCTCCATCGAGTTCCGCATCATTGTCCCCATAATTAGCCATTCAGATTTGCTTCCTTGCGCGAACGCGTGTGCGGATATGACGTCGTCAATAGCGGCACGTGGACGACGAACGTCGACTGGCAAAACGAAACTGCTACGCGGAGGCGTTAGCGGAAGACTGGCGATATGATAAATACAGTCGCTGCAGGTGGTTGACACTCGCGAAAGGTGATTACGACTTGGTAACTTGGACAT